TTTTTCTTTCTTTCCCTCCTAAATTTCTTACATTTTTCTCATCTATCTATCTATCTATCTATCTATCTATCATTCTGTTCATCTATCTTTTCATCTATCTATCTATCTATCTATCTATCTATCTATCTATCTATCTATCTCATTATCTATCTATATCTATCTATCTATCTATCTATCTATCTATCTATCTATCTATCTATATCTATTCATTCTATCTATCTATCTATCTATCTATCTATCTATCTATCTATCTATCTATCTAACATATCTATCTATCTATCTATCTATCTATCCTATTATGTTTTCTATCTATCTATCTATCTATCTATCTATCTATCTATCTATCCCATTCTTTCTTCTATCTATCTATCTATCTATCTATCTATCTATCTATCTATCTATCTATCTATCTATCTATCTATCCCATTCTGTTTCTATCTATCTATCTATCTATCTATCTATCTATCTATCTATCTATCTATCTATCTATCCCATTCTGTTTCTATCTATCTATCTATCTATCTATCTATCTATCTATCTATCTATCTATCTATCTATCCCATTCTGCTTCTATCTATCTATCTATCTATTTATCTATCTATCTATCTATCTATCTATCTATCCCATTCTGTTTCTATCTATCTATCTATCTATCTATCTATCTATCTATCTATCTATCTATGCTCCGTCATCTGTTTCTGTTCATATCTATGTTTCCACATCTATCTATCCCATTCTGTTTCTATCTATCTATCTATCTATCTATCTATCTATCTATCTATGTCAGTCGGTTCAAATGTATCCCAGTCGATTCATATCTATCTATCTATCTATCTATCTATCTATCTATCTATCTATCTTTTATTTTCTTTCTTCTCTTTTCTTTCTTTCTTTCTTTCTTTATTCATTTTTTTATTTCTTTTTCTCATAATTTTTTTTTACATTTGTTCTCATTCATCTATCAAACTTACATTTCTTTCTTTCTTTTCTTTTTTTTCTTTCTTTCTTTTCATTTTTTTCTTTCTTTTCCCAAATTCTCGTATCTTTTTTTTTTTTTCCGTCATTTTTCTTCTTCCCACATTGTTCCTGTTCTTTCTTTCTTTCTTTCTTTCTTTCTTTCTTTCTTTCTTTCTTTTTTTTCGTCATTCTATAAAAAATGCAAATATTATTTTCTCTCTTTCTCATTGTCTTTCCTTCCATCAACACCTATTTTCCATTTATTTATTTCTTTCCCGCCAGACTCACTTTTACCGTCTGTTTCACACCTTTTTTATTTTATCTTTCTCTTTATGCCCCCAACACACAGGCACACACACACACACACACACACACAACATGAGCCAATCTAATAGTAAAAACAATTGAGTTTGCATAATACTACGCCTGCAGATGTTATGCGCATGCGTAATAACTTGCCCAATAATTTCAGTCGATTTCATTTCTTTTTCCGATGCAATCATAAACGTATAAAATTCACTTCCGTCGGCACCCTTTCCTGTTCATCTCTTAAAAACTATTCTTTGTTTTTTTTTTATATATTACTTTTTAATTTCCTGTGTTCTAGAATTAACCGACAAAATAATTTAACCTAACAATATTGACTTTTTTTATTATAATGATTTTTATCGTTTCTGTTTTTCTTATTAAATTTGAAAGATATAAACAAGGAAAGAGAAGAATTATTAAATAGAAAGACAGAAAATAAACAGCTTATGATGTTAAGAAAGACATAAACAAAAGGTGTAATATGAAAATTGAAAATGAAAAAGAAACCTCGAATAGCAAGAGTAAAAATGAAAAGAAGAAAGAAGAATAAAGTGAAAGTTAGTGAGATGAATGGGAACAAATGTAAGAAAGAAAGAAAGAAAGAAAAAAGAAAGAAAGAAGGAAAGAAAGAAAGAAAGAAAGAAAGAAAGATAAACAAAATGAAACTTTGTAAGTTGAATGAGAACAAATGAAAGAAATTAAGGAGTGAAAGAAAGAAACAAAGAAAGAAACAAACAAATGAAAATGAAATTTTGAAAGATGAATGAGAACAAATGTAAAAAAATTAGAAAAGAAAAAAAAAAAGACTTTATGAAAGAAAGAAAGAAAGAAAGAAAGAAAGAAAGAAAGAAAGAAAGAAAGAAAGAAAAAGAAAGAAAGAAAAGAAAAGAAAACGAAATGAAAATTTATAACATGGATGACAAAAATGCAAGAATTTTAAGAAAGAAAGAAAGAAAGAAAAAAAGAAAGAAAGAAAGAAAGAAAGAAAAAAATAAAAGAAAAGAAAACAAAATGAAAATTTATAACATGGATGACAAAAATGCAAGAAATTTAGGAAAGAAAGAAAGAAAGAAAGAAAGAAAGAAAGAAAGAAAGAAAGAAAGAGAAAGAAAGAAAAGAAAAGAAAACGAAATGAAAATTTATAACATGGATGACAAAAATGCAAGAATTTTGAGAAAGAAAGAAAGAAAGAAAAAAAGAAAGAAAGAAAGAAAGAAAAAATAAAAGAAAAGAAAACAAAATGAAAATTTATAACATGGATGACAAAAAATGCAAAGAAATTTGGGAAAGAAAAGAAAGAAAGAAAAAGAAAAGAAAGAAAAGAAAAAAAGAAAAGAAAAAAAAACGAAATGAAAATTTATAACATGGATGACAAAAAATGCAAGAATTTTAAGAAAAGAAAAAAAGAAAAAAAAAAGAAAAAAAAGAAAAAAAAGAAGAAAATAAAAGAAAAGAAAACAAAATGAAAATTTATAACATGGATGACAAAAATGCAAGAAATTTAGGAAAGAAAGAAAAGAAAGAAAGAAAAGAAAAGGGAAAGAAAGAAAAGAAAGGAAAAGAAAAAGAAAAGAAAACGAAATGAAAATTTATAACATGGATGACAAAAATGCAAGAATTTTAAGAAAGAAAGAAAGAAAGAAAGAAAAAAGAAAGAAAGAAAAGAAAAGAAAACAAAATGAAAATTTATAACATGGATGACAAAAATGCAAGAATTTTAAGAAAGAAAGAAAGAATGAAAGAAAGAAAGAAAGAAAGGAAAAATAAATGAAAGTTTGTAGGATTGATGAGAACATCTGTAAGAAATTTATGTGTGAAAGAAATAAAGAAAAAAAGAAAGAAATAAAGAAAGGAACGAAAACGATATGAAAAATAATAACATCGATGACAAAAAATGTAAGCATTTTAGGAAAGAAAGAAAAAATAGAAATAAATTATAGATAGAATATAAAATAGAATAAAGAGAGAAAAAGGGAAAGAAAGAAATATTATAATAGAAAGAAAAAATATAGAAAGAAAGAAAGGAAAAGAAATAAAAAGAAAGAAAGAAAAAAGAAAGTAAAGTGAATGGAGAGAAGAAAGAATTTTCCACTTTTTTTTATTTTCGTTTTGTTTTTGTCTTTTTTATTCGTTTTACTTTTTTTGTCTATATTTTATATTGTAATTATATGTAATTCTACTTATATGTTGTATTGTAATTATTCACATTGTTCGCACATCTGTCCTGGTCTTTATTGCCATTTTCTCGACGTTTCGGCCGTTGTACGCTCCTGCCACCTTCAGGTGATTGGAATTTCGAACGGAACTCTTTCATCCACCAAAGTGTTGTAAGTTAAATACCTTGCTACTGCAGTGGCGAACAAAAACTTGGAAAGATGAATTAAAGGGAGATAACTGAGACATCCAGAAGAGGCATAGCACGTGGAACTAGAACAATCTACCCCGGTGGACTAAATAAAGAGTTCAATTCGAAATTCTAATCAACTGAAGACGGCTGGAACATAAATCGTCCGAAACGGTGTGAATATGGCAATAAAGATAAGGACAATAGCCCGAACACTGCAAGTAATGTAAATAATTACAATGCCTCACCTCAGAAATATAGACAGATCCTGAAGAAGGCCGGAATTCACAACGGCCGAAACGTCGTGAATGTCCGAAACGGTGTGAATATGGCAATAAAGATAAGGACAATAGTCCGAACACTGCAAGTAATGTAAATAATTACAATGCCTCATCTCAGAAATATAGACAAATCCTGAAGAAGGCCGGAACGTAAAAAGTCCGAAACGTCGTGAATATGACAATCAAGGTGAGGGAAATAGTCTGAACAATGTAAATAATGTAGTTTTGTTTTTTGTCTATTAGTTGCGTTATTGCGTTTTTGTTTGTTTTTTAGCTTTATTTTGATTATTTTCTTTGTTTTTATGCTATTTTGATTTTTATTCTGTTTTGCCTTATGCAGTTTTTATTTTTTTACGCCTTTCTTTACTTGCTTTTTGATTTGTGTTTGTATTTTTTTTTTTAATTTTGTTTTGTTTTTAGACTTTTTTATGTTTTTCCTTTTTTGTTTCATTTTGGCACTGATATTTGTATTTTTTCTTTTTTATGTTTTCTATTTGATTTGATTCTTTTGTTTTTATTTTGTTTATTGTGCCTTCTGTTATTTTTTTGTTTTGTTTTGTTTTTGGGGGGTGTCTGTATTTTTTCTGCCTTTTTAGTTTTTAGTTGTTTTTAACGTTTTTTGTTTTATTTTTGGTTTTTGGTTCTAGCTTCTGTTTTATTTTGTCATTTTGCTCTTTTTGTTTTATTTTTTCTTTGTTTTTATTCTGTTCTGTATTTGCTTTTTTGTTTTATTGGTCATTTGGTTTTGTTTCTTGTTTGTTTTATCATTTTATTTGTCTTTGTGCGTTTTTGTTTTATTCGAATATTTTTATTTCTTCTTTTTGTTTTACCGTTACGTTTTGTTTTATCCTTTTGGAATATTTTATCTAGTTTTTGTTTTATATTTTGTATTTCGTCATTTTGTTTTGTCGTGTCAGTTTTCTTCTATTTGCAATTTATCTTTTTTCACCCCTGATTTGGCTATTCGCTGTTTATGAATTGGAATTTCACTTAGTAAAATTTTCAGTGGCCACAATTTTTTTTTACGAAGGAAACCGGGCAAGGTAACAATGTAGGGACAGCATTTTCGCAATGTTTCATAATTCAGGTTGCGTCCAAATTTGAATTGGATGACGGTCAGTATATTTGTCCTTCCCGCCTGTTTCGGGCCCTTTGTCGAATGTTTCATTGAGTTATGTCGTTTGCGTTTGATTTGGGATTCAGTCATCGACATCGAAAGATTCGAAAAACAAACAAGGACAACACAAGACGCTGGATGAATTGTAAAAACAAAAACAAAAATGACGAAAATTAAATATAAAATGATAATTTAATATTTTTCGCCCACTTTCAACAACTTTCTGAATTTTTCTTTACATTTTGATATTTCTTCCTTGTAATAATTGGTTCGCATCCATTAAAACTTTCTTTCTTTCTTTCTTTCTTCCAAATTATAATATCATCTTTTTTTCCCTCTCATATTCTAATTAGCATATTTCGTCATTCTTTTTTTTCTTTTTTTCCCATTATTTCTCTTTACTTTTTTTTTTGTCTCTACTTCGAAATTTTTCTTTAAAATTTTCTTTTTTCTTTCATCCTTTCTTTCTTCCTGTCTTTATTTATTTCTCTTTTCGTTCACAGTGATGTTGTTCTTTGCATTTCTTCCCATGCGTCTCATTTTTTATCATTTCCTTCTTTCTTTCTTTCTCTTTTCATTCATGTTTTTAGCTTATCTTTCTATGCTTCCCATTTTTTATTTCCTTCTTTCTTTCCTTCTTTCTTTCCTTCTTTCTTTCTTTCTTCCTCTTTTCTGTCATAATAATTTTGTTCTTTGCATTTCCTCCCATATGTTTCATTTTTTTCATTTCTTTTCTTTCTTTCTTTCTTTCTTTCTTTCTCTTTTCATTCATAATTTTTTTAGCTTATCTTTCTATGCTTCTCATTTTTTATTTCCTTCTTTCTTTCCTTCTTTCTTTCCTTCTTTCCTTCTTTCTTTCTTTCTCTTTTCTGTCATAATAATGTTGTTCTTTGCATTTCCTCCCATATGTCTCATTTTTTTCATTTCTTTCTTTCTTTCTTTCTTTCTTTCTTTCTTTCCTTCTTTCTTTCTTTCTTTCTTTCTTCCAAAATACAATATCTTTTTTCCTCTTCTATTCTAATTAGCCCATTTCGTTATTCTTTCTTTCTTTTTCCCCCTCTTATTTCTCTTTACATTTTTGGCTCTACTTCGAAAATTTTCTTCATAATTTTCTTTCTTATTTCTTTCGGTATTTTTTCTTTATTCCCTTATTTCTTTCTTTTTCGTTCACAATGATGATGTTCTTTGCATCTCTTCCCATACGTCACATCTTTTTATTTCCTTCTTTCTTTCTTTCTTTCTTTCTCTTTTCATTCATAATGTTATTTTTAGCTTTTTCTTTCTATGCTTCTCATTTTTTATTTCCTTCTTTCTTTCTTCCTCTTTTCTGTCATAATAATATTGTGCTTCGCTTTTCTTTCTTTTCCTTCCTTCGTTTTTCTTTTCCTTTCTTCTTTCTTTCTTTTTTCCTTCACAATGATGTTTTTTACATCTCTTGCATGCGTCACATTTTTTCATTTCCTTCCATCATTCTTTCTTTGTTTCTTTCTTTCACTTTTCTTCCATAATGCTGTTGTTCTTTGCATTTCTTTCCATGCTTCTCATTTTTCATTGCCGTCCTTCTTTTTTTTCTTTTTCTTCTTTCTTTCTTTCTTTCCTTATTTATTTATTTTTTCATTCACAATGATGTTATTTTTCGCATCTCTTTGCATACCTCTCACTTTTTTCATTTCTTTCTTTTCTCTATCTTTCTTTTTTTATTCATAATGATGTTGGTCTTTGAATTTCTTTCTATGCGTCTCATTTTTTTTTCATTTCCTTCTTTCTATGCGTGTCATCTCTTTCTTTCTTTTCTTCATTTCTTTTCTTTGCTTCCTTTGTTGATTTTCTTTATCAATTCTTTCGTTTTCCCTATTTTTCTTTCTTTCTCTTTTCCTTCATTCCACAATGATTTTGTTTCTTTGCGTTTCCTTCTTATTATCTTTTTGTCTTTTCTTTCTATCTATGCGTCTGTTTTTTTCTTTCTTTTTTTTCATTTCTTTCATCTTTCATTTTTTTTCATTCTTTCCTTCATTTCTTGTCTGTTTTTATTTATTTATTTCGTTTTTTTCTCCCCGTCTTCTTTTCTTTTTTCTTTCCCTCTTTCTTTCTTTCTTTCTTTCTTTCTTTCCGAAACGATTTTTTCTTTGCACTTCGTTCATTTTTCTTTTTTCTTTCTTCTCGTTTCCTTCTTCATTTATTTCATATATCTTTCTTTCATTTTTTATTTTGTTGCTTTTTTCTTCCTTCCTTCTTTCTTTCTTTCTTTCTTTCTTTCTTTCTTTCTGCTGCAGCTTTCTTTATTTTATGTGACTGTAACTCATTTGCCCTCATTTAGGTATTCATGCTGAAGCAACAGTTTTTCGTGTTTTCCCGACAAAATTTATAACAATTCATAGAATCACTATCCAGTCATCAAAATGGTGGACACTATTTAAATTCTAAAGTTAGTAGATTGTGAATTTTGCCAATTGCGTCTTTCTGGGCTGCTGTTGAAAGTCATGCGCATTTAAGTTTAAATATCACAACAATGGTGTCTACTTTTAAACTCCCAGCCATACCAAATTTTGCATTTCTCTAGATTGCGTCTTTCTGGGCTGCTGTTGAAAGTCATGCGCATTTAAGTTTAAATATCACAACAATGGTGTCTACTTTTAAACTCCCAGCCATACCAAATTTTGCATTTCGCTAGATGCGATAATTGGAGACTTCTTTTGAGGGCCAAGCCCTAATAAATTTCGCTATTTGCCTCATTTTAGCCGGGTTTTTAAAAGCCAGCCCTACCATATTATGCATTTCGCTTCTTACAATGTTTGGAGATTTCTTTTGAAAGCCAGTCTCTAGTAAATTTTGAATTTTTCTGTTTCGTATTTTGAGCCTGATTAAGAAAGCCCAGCCATACCATATTCTGCATTTCACTTCTTGAAATATTTGGAGATTTCTTTTGAAAGTCAGTCGCTATTAAATTTTGCATTTTTCTGTTTTAGCGGCCTGATTGAGAAAGCCCAGCCATATCATATTCTGCATTTCCCTTTGTTTTGTGATCTCTTTTTAAAGCCGGTCGCTACTTTTACTAAATTTTGCTGTTTACGTCTTTTGGGCCTGGTTGAGAATGCCCAGCCTTATCATATTCTGCATTTCGTTTCTTGCAGTGTTTGGGTATTTCAGTCGCTAGTAAATTTTTCATTTTGCTATTTGCGTATTTTTGTGGATTCTTAAGAAAAGACACCGCTGCCAAATTTTGTATTTTGGTACTTATAACTATTGGTGGTTACTTTTGAATGTCCATCTCTACTAAATTTTGTTTTTATTACTTGTGACATTGGGAGGCTAATTTTGAAAACAAAGGTATATTATTTTTTTTTATTTTGTTACCTGAGTTTTTAGGTCTACATTTAAAAATCTACTGCTACTGAAATTTGAATTACGTTCCTTACAACTTACAAAATCCAATGATATTAATTCTTTTACTTTCGCTACATGGGACATTCGGGGGTAACCTATGACCCTAATAATTTTGGAATTCCGATACTTGTAACGTTTTGAAGTATTTCTGAAAACTCACGTATACGAAATTTTGAATTTCGCTACAAACAAATTTTCAGACATTTTTTTTTCATTTATTTTTTTTCATTTTTATTTATTTATTTATTGAAATGCTAGCGATTTAAAATGTTGATTTTTTATATATATATGACTTTTGGAACTACTTGAATTCTAATAAAATAAAAAAAAAACTCAAAATTTACTCCACCGTATTCCAAATATACATCATCATCCTGGGGTATGACGATAAACTCCATCCGCGTCCAGGGTAAGACGATAAACTACGTCCAACAGAAAGGCCTCTGATCAGGAGGTTTTGAGAAGCGTGGAACCACCTCTTAATTGCTGATGTTCCCATGTCCACCTTGACCTATGGTGGTAGCACCTGTTAGGGTCCCAGCCATGGGCTAATAGTTAACACCAAAACTTGTGTAATAAGAGCTTCTAATACCAGAAATATTTTGTAATAAAAAAATTATTACAGCAATAATTCTTGAAGGAAAAAGTATTATCAGCAATACTTTTTTAAAAAATACCAGCAATACAAAGAGTTATACATTCTTCGAAAAAAAATATAACCAGCTATAGATTTCTTCAAGGAAAAATATTCCAAAAAATAGATTTTTGAAGAAAAACATATTACCAGCAATAAAAATTTTGTCGGCATTAAATAACCCATTGAGGTTGATATGACGTAAAACAAACCAAACCAAATATACATCGATTTTCTAGTTCTCATTCAACCTGGAAACCCTGTGGGGGTTCCATAGCCATTTTAATAGAAGTGCTATAATACAATACATCTGTATATGTCAACTATTCTTATTTGGTTATCTTTATATATTTGGGGAGGATATTAAAATAATCCAGAACCTATGCTGGCAGCAAAAAGATATTTAGTCATTTTTGTTCAAGCATTAGCGCAGTCAACATCTCCCACTGGTATCTACTGTGTTTCCTTAGGTAAAAACATGGCGAAGGCGAAAAAGTGGACAGAGTTTGAGCTTGGTAGAATTGTCGATCTGCAAAGGAAGATTTTCTTTCAACGTTCCATCTCTAGTGAGACTGGACCTAGTAAAATGGCTTGAAAGATGCTGAGGGATACGAAACGAGACTTTCAAGTGGTCGGTCCAAGAAAATATCGTCGGCATCGAGCAGGAGGATTCGACAGGTTGCCTGGCAAGACACCAGCCGTTCAGCAAACCAGATTAAGACCGTTACGGACGTAGAATGCAGTTGAAGTACAGTAAAATATCTCCGAGAAAAAAAGGCTTAAAAATCGGAAACGGATTCAAATCTACGCTTCTTTCTACACCTCATAAAAGCTCGGTTAAGCTTTGCTGAAACGAGCCAAACATAGGGCATAGAAAACAAAAAGATAGAAGATGTTGTTTTCTGACGAGAAAAGATTTAACCTGGATGGTCCAGATGCATTCCAACCTTACTGGCACAATGAAAATATCCCACTCGAGATATTTTCTACACAAGATAGTGGATGTTGTTCTATCCTGATCCAAAGAACAATGGGGCTTCAGGTTATACAGAGGTGTCAAACCGCGCCTGGTTACATTGACATGTTGAAGAGAGCACCCTTATTGAATGAAAACTCTCGCTTTTTATGGAAATGGCTGTATCTTTCAAAAGGACAACGCTGCAGTTCATAATGCCCACAGAACAAATAACTCTTTCAAGACGAATAACGTTATTCTTTTGAACCATCCAACGTGTTCCTCCGATCTGAACCCCATTGTAAATGTCTGGGATGAAAGTCAAAGAAGTCTACAGAAACGAACGTTGGTTTCAGTCAGTGCATGATCTTCGTGAAGCCAACGTCACCACTTGGAATAATATTCCAGCCAGCCTTCTGTAGGCACTTACATCGGCCCTGCCAAAGCGAAGTTTTGAATTTATGCAACTGAATACGGAAATGTCATGTTGGACATTTCCTATTCTGTTTAGGACTCCTTTTAGTTATGGTCTTAAACTTTTGTCCACTTCACATTTAGCCCAATATCCTAGTTTTCAATTTTTATTTTTATTATTTGCATATTTTCAAGCTTTACTCAAGAAAGTGGTTAAGTCTAATAATGCAAAAGATATATGTATCCATCCTTTACTTTCATTGGCATTAAGGTTTTAAGTAGATATATATATATATATATATATATATATATATAGTGTTTGTGTGTATTTAGGCAACATTTTTCCATTCGTTTAATGATAATGTTATTAAGCTTATCAGACGTTATGAAAATAATTTACATAAAATAAATAGACAACACTTGTCTATATTATTGAATGAAACATATATATATATATATATATATATATATATATATATATATTTGGAGAGAGAGAGAGAGAGAGAGAGAGAGAGATAAGGTTCAAACACTAATATTCCATGTTTCTAATTTATTACATTGGAATCGTAATCAGGATCAATTCATCAGACCTATGAATTGGATTGTGATTACGATCCCAATATAATAAATTATAACCAGACATGGAATATTAATGTTGAGACTTTTTAATATATTCTTACTCTGTCCTGGACACACACACACACACACACACACACACACACATATATATATATATATAAGACATTTTATGTTTAACATTCTTTATATATACACACACACACACATATATATATATATATATATATATATATAGATTGACGACTATATTACATATATATATAAAACACACACACACATATATATATATATATATATATATATATATAAAAGATATTTTATGTTTAACATTCTTTTATATATATATATATATATATATATATATATATATATATATATATATAGATAGATAGATAGATAGATAGATAGATTGACCACTAATATTTATATATATATAAACACACACACATATATATATATATATATATATATATATATATATATATATATGATGAGCATCCCTGTCTTTTTCGACGTATGAGTATATTTCATTTCAGTTTTAAACCTGTACTTGTCCCCGTCACCTTAACTCTCTCGCCAGTCGACTTGTTGCTCAAGTGGAATAGCAAAGTAGAAACACAGAAATGAACTGCAGACTATCCACATAAAAGATTTGTTTAGAGTGCTGAAGGTTTATGTAGAACCACCCACACTTATTGGATGTATATATATATATATATATATATATATATATATATATATATATATATATATATATATATATATATGAAATAGAACATAAGAACACTTAGAGGCGACAGTCTGTTTCATACTAGATGCAATCGTCAGGCCACGAATGCTGTTATTTTTCCCGGCTATTTATATATATACGTATCAGTTGTGCATTGTGGGTAGTCTATTTTGGCGTTATTTTACCGGAAGTCGTTTATTTATTTATTTCTGTGGTAGACCCGTTGCCATCCAAGCCTATATAGCCCGGTCTGTTCTGTTATTTACCCATAGCTGGGGGGAGAAGAAGAGGTTTCATATCTTTCGCAAGGGTATTAGCACGTAAATGAATGTAATGGTTTCGACCGGAATTTGAACTCAGTTCTCCGAATCCTCAAGTAATTATTTCCAAAATTTGATTTCTCTTTTTGACTCAAGGTAATTTTGACATAATTTACAAGAGTGTTTTGGATTGTTTAGAAAGAAAGAAAGAAAGAAAGAAAGAAAGAAAGAAAGAACATTGTAAAAAAAAGGGAGAGGAAAAGCAAAACAGATATAAGAACGAAAGAAAGAAAGAAAGAAAGAAATAGACCGGGTAAGAAAAAAAGGAGAGGAAAAACAAAGGAATTTGGAAAATAATAAATGAATGAATGAATGAATGAATGAACCAGGTAAGAAGAAAAAGGGAGGAAAATCAAAAAAGATATCAGAATTTGGAAAAAGAAAGAAAGAAAGAAAGAAAGAGAGAATGAAAGAACCGAGTAAGAAGAAAAAGAGAAGAAAAACAAAAAAGATATAAGAAGTTGGACAAAAGTAAAAAAAAAAAAAAAAGAAATAAAAAAGAAACAAGTAGGAAGAAAAGGGCAGAAAAAAAAACGGCAAAAAGCATATAAGAATTTGAAAGAAAGAAAGAAAGAAAGAAAGAAAGAAAGAAAGAAAGAAAGAAAGAAAAGGAATCGTTGTATGGAAAAGAAAGAAAGAAAAGAAAGAAAGAAAGAAAGAAAGAAAGAAAGAAAGAAAGAAAGAAAAGAAAAGGAATGGTATGGAGAAGAAAGAAAGAAAGAAAAAAGAAAGAAAGAAAAAAGAAAGAAAGAAAGAAAGAAAGAAAGAAAAGGAATAGTTATATGGAGGAGAAGAAAGAAAGAAAGAAAGAAAGAAAAAAAAAAGAAAGAAAGAAAGAAAAGAAAAAAGGAATAGTTATATGGAGGAGAAGAAAGAAAAGAAAGAAAAAAGAAAGAAAGAAAGAAAGAAAGAAAGAAAGAAAGAAAGAAGCCGGGGAGAAGAAAAAGAGAACAGAATGAAAAAAGAAAATAAGAAAGAAAATGACCTGAAGATTAAGAAAGAAAAGAAAAGAAAGAAAAGAGGAAGAGAAAATAAGAAAGAATTGGGGCAATTTAGAGATAAGAAAGCAAGTCTTAAAAGAAAGATGCAAAGAAAGAAAGAAATAATGAAAGGAGAGAGTGTAATACCCTAGAAAGGATAAAAGCGATTGAACAAAGGATAAAAGTCCTTAATGTAAAAAAAAAAAGACAGAAAAACTATCAAAATTATCTTCTGATGTCTACCTTTCTCTTTTATCGATTCTCCGAACTGCCTCTTCTCTCCCATTCCGTCTGGCTGGCTAGTCCAACGATCCCCTCCCCACTCTCAGTTCTGTTTTGCTGGCCAATAAAAGACAGCAGCTGGTGGCCTGCAAGTCGCAGTTCCTGCCACGCCACCACGCGAAATGTCAGTATTACCTCTCCCATCACCATACGCCACTCGCATTAAGTGATCAGAAAATGCGATCGCCAATATCTGACCGCGTCTCAGGAAGAACTTCTCTCCGACAGTTATTCTGATTTGAATAATATTGGTGTGATCAGCATCAAGCGTTTCCCCTTCACCATGCTAGTTTTGCCTTGTGACTATCTCCGGTTACCCTGCTGTGTTACTACTCTCCGGTGCTGACTCGTCGCTCTCACTGGCTAATCTTTCGCAGCGCCGGGCCAACAAGAGTATAATATTATTTGTTTCGCTTTGGCTGGCGTTAGGTGAGCGAACCGGTCTGACAAGATGGTGTTATTGTTCAATGTGTCTTCGCTAAGCTACCTTGTTGTTAAGCAAGCCAAAGTTTAGATATTGGCGCTTGCCGTCGCACAACAGGAAGCGGGAAAGAGATGGACGTTAGGAAAGGACGCCCGCAAAAACAAAGGAGCGTGTCCAGCCGTGGAGTAATTCTTTAAAAATCTCCTCGGATCGACAACTACTGCTGTAATGAGTTCGATCTTACTCAGCATTCTACGTTGTTAAGGCTATCATTAGGCTTCTTTTCTTTTTATGTTCCATGTCCTTTCATGACATCGGCCAGTGCGAGTGATATTCGAAGGCGTTTGACACCAGCATTGTTCAACGGCGTTATAAAAGTTTATAATCTGCGATTGTAAAGTCTCTACTACAAGGAGCATTACGAAAGAGATAACGAGTATTCGTTGACATCACAAAAATCACATACACACACACTCACACACAGACAGATATACATACATATATATATATATATATATATATATATATATATATATATATATATATATATATATATTTCCTTATGGCACTCGATGCACCAGGTTTCTGTATTCGTCCCTTCAAAAAGTGTGGATGGTCCTGCACGAAGCCTTCACGACTATAATCAAATCTCATGTGCCGGTGTCGGGCTGTCGGTTTCCTGGAAACTGATCTGCTTGACCCTCATACGTCGAATCTCGACGGGAGAATATACTATATATATATATATATATATATATATATATATATATATATTGAACAATAAAAAATATTAAAAAAATAAAATCTTCAGACACACTGGGTTGTAGATTAATATTATTTTGTTTTCATTATTATTATTTCATTTAGATTCCTCGACTAGTTTCGGCCAACATGGCCATCATCAGGAAAAAAATATTTCTGCTTGCTGGTGTATGGTATTAGTCTGTCTCGCATTCACCAGACGCATCAGTATATCAACAAGTGTTGTGAACTACAGAAATGAATGTCTTGATAGAGAAAATGAACTTTTGTCTGTAGTTTTCATGTTTTTTTTTTTTTTTATTATTATTATTTATTATATATATATATATATATATATATATATATATATATATATATATATATATATATATATATATTTAAATACGTTTTTGTAGTACAAATTTAAGGATAGCTAGGAATAAGTATAATTTATATGGCATTTTAATGTATATTTTAAAAGCTAAAAAAAAAACAACCGGTTTCGTCCCAGCCTTATCAAGTTTATTCCTGGGATATAAAAAATAAATATGTAAATATATGTTTACATATCGATTATCTAATAACAGTTTTGGGGTCCTTGCCTGTCATAGGACTGACTTCCTGCTAGGTAACCATTATATATCTGTCCCAAAAGCTTGGATACAACGGGCGTTCCCAAAGTAACAACGAGTATTCGTTGACATTACAAAAGTGGCAACGAGTGTTCGTTGACATCACAAAAATCACACACACAGAGACCCCCCCCACACACACACACATATATATATATATATATATATATATATATATATATATATCGACTATCTAATAAGCGTTTTGGAGTTCTTGCCCATCATATGACTTACTTCCTGCTAGGTAACATTATATATAAGGCTTGGATACCTGGCTTACCTGGCTGTATGAAGCATTAACTCATGATTTGGAACTCAATCCTATCAGCCAATCAAAATACAACTGAGCTTCATTTAATTTGGCTTGATCTCGCGAATGCCCATGGATCAGTTCTTGATGAGCTTATGCGAATATCCCTCGTATTCTTAAATTTCCCTGGTAAGTTTAGGGAAATCATAATGGAATATTTCAGAGCAGCGTTTCTTCATTTCACCGTTGGTAACTACAGCACCGAATCGCAAGCTCTCGAGTTAGGCATCAGGGTGGGGTGTGTGATTTCACCATTTCTTTTTCATTATGCCCATGGAACTCATATTACCGTGTGCAGCGGTCTCAGCAAAGGGATTGATGGTCCTTCCTCCTTCCAGAGCGTTCATGGATGACATCACCATTCTGGTCCCTTCTAAAGACGTCCCCGCTTTACCATAAGCTCTTCACGTGGACGAGAATGGAGGCTAAACCAAAGAAAAGTTGGACCTTACCATTACTTTGTGGCACTGTCAGGGAGATTCACTTCTGCAATGGGGGTGACATGACGCTGACAGTCAAAGAGAAGCCAATGAAGAGCCTCGGATGGCGGTATGAAATTCCAGTATCTGATCGTCGCCGAGGTAAAGAGGTGCAGAAAAATGGTAGTAGATGAACTTGAATCCATCGACAGAACTCATCTCCCCAGCAAACTGAAGGTTTAGTACTACCAACGTGTTTTGCTGTCCCGGCTTCTGTAACCGTTGCAGGTTTATGGTATTAGTCTGTCTCACATTCAGCAGACGCACCAGTGTATCAACAAGTGTTGTATATTGCTGCTGGACTCAAATAAGGTGACGAAAACATAAAAATATATAAATTTAATATCGAGTTGCGATAATTGTCTAGAATGAGGGGGAATCACAGAGGTTGCACACAGGAATTGACGGAAGACAAAATCTTCGGTGAAACTCTAGCCAGCCTCTCTACAGACCAAGAGTTGGGCTGTTTTTATAACATTTGGACACCCACGAATCTTCACATGGCTACGCCTTCTCCCGGTTTGTCGTCTATGCAATTTCCTGTGGCCGTGCCCCCTCCGGACATGTGGCTACACAACTTCGTGTGGCGACTCCTCTTCCGGCATGCGCTCACGCAAGCACGCATTTCCTTCCGCTCAGGACACCTCCGCGCCCTGATAATTCAAGGCCCAGGGCACCTGTGCGTCATCTTTATTTTGGTCATTTTCTGTTTATGGTATCAACCATTCCGATTTACGCTCACTCTCTGAGGGAGCGGAAGTGAGGTCAAAGGTCTTCCTCAAACGATATCCAACACAAGTACCTTCGCAACTGGTTTGGACCCCCCCCATCCCGCTATTTCTCTACAATGAGAATATAAATCAATGCCAGAAACTTGCAACTTGCAATGTCCTTATTGGTGGAGGTGTTCAAGGTCGGCAAGGTACGCCTTCACGTCACCATGAAGGAATCGGCCGATGAGTTCGTCCGCAGATTACAGCCAGATAAAAAAGAAATGGTCAGCACCAAAACCGATACCAGACGGTCGGCAGTCGAAACCACCCTAGAAGCAGAAACCAGCCAACGAACCAAGAACATTATGGGGGTGACCCAAGCCAATCGAGCTGACCTGCGTAGCACAAGCAACCAGTTTTTCTTCAAACAGATTCCAAAGAGTAAACAAGACATGGTGATTGAAAAAATCAGAAATTCTGAAGAAGAACAGCGAACAGCTACTGCTGATCCTCAGTCCAAGCAATGTGCTTGGGCTACATGAAGTGATATTGACCCGTGGAAGCTATCATGGAATACTGATTGCATGATCCGATGAAGCTATCATAGAATACCCTGACTGTAATGGAGGCATTGGCAATGTCATTCCTCCTACTTATGATCTATCAAATGCAACCAACTTCAAGCTGGAACACTGGCATCGATATGTGCGCACTATGTCAAAGGTCATCGGGGTATTTTTCGCCACGTACTTCCTCCATGTCCACAATCACTACAGATGTACACGTGCCATCATAACAAAGCACCAGAAGTGGTCATGGACCTAGTCGGTACACAGTGTGAAGCTGCCAACAAACAGCCTGTAACGGCCAAAGGAAGGTGAAGGCCCTGTGCAGAAGACCCAAATAACTCCCAATGTGACGCTATAGAGTGGAGCCCTGATTGGCGGGTGTTAGTTGATCTTCAATTTTCTATATACATCATTGAAACAGACGCACTTCATAACATTGTTGCATGGTCTGATTCAAAGACATGTGAAATGCACTACCAAATGCAACCAACCTCAAGCTGGAACACTGGCATCGATTTGTGCACATTATGTCAAAGGTCATCGGTGTATTTTTCGCTACGAACTTCCTCCATGCCCACAATTACTACAGATGTACACGTGGTATCACAACAAAGCGCTAGAAGTAGTCATGGACCTGGTCAGTACACAGCGTGAAGCTGACAACAAACAGCCTGTAACGGCTAAAGAATCCAAGATCCGTTTTTACATGGAAGGTGAACGCCCTGTGCAGAAGACCCAAATATCTCCCAACGTGACGCTACTGAGTGGGGTCCGTGATTGGAGGGTCTTAGTTGATCAATTTCCCGTACACATCATTAAAACAGACGCACGTACTAACATTGTAGCATGGTCTGCTTCAAAGAAATGTGTCCCCCTAGTAGAATTAACGGTTCTATGGGAGAGGAACAGGGACGAGGCACACGAACTAAAAAAAAAACCGCTTCAAATCGCTGCGATCCGACTGCGTGAAGAAAGATTTGGATATGTCATGTACTACCTACAGAGCCGCGCTGGGACCTTTCCCAGCAGCGCTAGTCGAACTCTCTGTCTTCGGGCAGAGAGGAACACGGACGAGGCTATGCCGAAGGGCAGAGTTTCGTCCGGGGAGGTAGACAGACCCGATCCCGTTTATACGGGGTCTACGGGGATTTTTTGGCCGGGCCTACGGGCTCGGGAACCCCACTTTAAATTCGGCCTTGTGCCACACGGGACTGCGTGGGGCAGTTGCTAAATAGAGTCATGTACTACCTATTGAGGTCGGTTACCGCGAATTCCTTCTTTTGGAAGGTCGGCATCACTGACCGGTGCCTGAAGCGTGTTTCGCAACGTCTCCAGACCACAGATCAACAGACATCGAGTTGGATCTGGTCAAGATCCAAAATAAACCAAGTGAATTAAAACCATGCTTGCAAAACAATGATACCTCGGGCATGAAACACAACTGTTTACCTTCCATTCTACGTCATTGATAAAGGTAGCGACGAGCGTACTGTGTATTGGTTAACGATCAAAAAGTGAACGCTTGTAACACAATGTTGAAAATCTGGCTTGAAGCGTATATGTTTTACGAAAATTCTCGAACATTCAGGTCGGTAAATGCAACTAATACTGTTTAATTAAAAAAACGGACCATTTACTTTAAAAAAATTATATCTATAAAAATAACGTATTAACAGAAGCCAACATTGAATAGAATCAGCTACAAATACTGTAATAATGTTCTAAAATGCCTATAAAATAATGCCTATAAAATAATGCCTATAAAATAATGTTCTAAAATGCCTATAAGATAAATCCTATAAAATAA